CAGTTTTATATGATTGGGCAGACGGAAAAGACTGATGGCGCTTAAAATCTCTAATAAGGCACCAACCCATCGACCCAAGTTGCGCCCGCAACCTAAAGAATTTGTAAAGAATCTTGTAAAGTCGGTTGCTACGTTCCATTAGACAATTAGAGGCAGGATTATGCCATAATGTTCTTGAGTGTCTGATACCATTGCGCTTTAGGTACTAAATGTAGTCATTACGTCAAATCTGAGGCCCATTTTAGTGATTATCGTTTACGGTAACAAAAGCTTGGGAAACAAGCAGCGAAGTCAATTAATACTGGCGGGTGTAGTGACATGCTCACACAAAGCATGCTCCTTACATTTGTTTTAGAATAAGGGAGGAGCTGGCACATTACTTTTCGGTTGAGGGGCCCTGGTGAATGCACCCATGATATCAATAGCAATCTTCGCCTATGACTTTATTGAATACTTGACAAGCGGTGTTTGAGAGTCCAACGGCATTACACTTTGGCCGATTGCTGTCGGGTTTAGCAATTCCGAACCATGGTTTGAATTCTGGCATTCAACTTCGGCCACCAGTATTATTGGCGTACGTGAGATTTGGTTTGCTCAATGCCTGGGTGGCCTCCAGGGGCGCATTCAAGCACTGCCGGAGTAAGTGTTACAGGTATAACAAACTGTGCACTTCTCACAATACAATTGTTTACAGAAGTCAACTCGTGCCAGAGTTTATGAAATGGGAGTAACTCGGGTTGACTTTTCGCGCATTTTGGCCAAGTGTAGCCAAGTATTGACGAATAATTGTTAGCACTATATCATGGTCGTTGTTCACTCTTACCCGGTGAAGTTTTGTGGCCGTAGGCGTCCATTTGAGAGTTGGGATATTATCTTTATCTTTTCAAACTATTGACGTGCCCCTTCTTTTTAAAGCTTTGCCTTAGCAAGTGAGTGCGCAAAGGTGTTCCAAAATTCTGGAATACATTTATTTCCATAATCGTAGTTTTGTAGACTAGAGTAATAAACGGTTAATCGCACCGGCTTTTGCCGCTTGTGTCCAGTGTCAGTTAGGATTATGTTTGTAGGATGCATTGTGCTCAAGTAATATCGACGCCCAGATTTGTAGAAATACCATTTCTCACATGCTTTGATGCACGCAAATTTTCCGCGATTGTGCAGCGGAGTAACTTCTTTACTTAGTCGACAGATTTCATTAGGCATTTGCTATTACCTTCTCTTAACTGATATGACATTAATACAGAATTGAGCCTAAATCAACATCCAAAGCTTCATTTGAACACATGTTTACATTGTTCTAATCTTGTTCAATAATCCGTATACCGGAAGTGGATATCGTACGCTCAACAACCTCCCATTCCATGAAAGTGAACTTGCGTTTTCTGCATTCAGGCAAAGATTTAGGTCACTTAGTCTCTGAAATATGTTCTTATGGGTTTTCTAGTTCAACTGGACCAAAATCAATCATAGAAATCTTGTGTATTTGCAAGACACATCCTTTGATGTCAGATAAGAAGAGCGCAATGAAAGTCTGCCAAACAGCTATCGCACTGATGAGGCCAAAGTTCAGAATGTGTACTTATAAAATCCAACATGTACGAAGAAACCTGTCAAGTGTCCGGAGTCTGGAGCCAGGTGCGTGTGTAAATATACAATTAAAGAGCAAGATATGAGGAAACCTAGGCTCTTAAAGTCTAACCAACAACTCATTGATAGAATCACTAGGAATTAATGGACAATACTATACTTACTATTTACATGTTTTCAGCACATAATCGAATACATCCACCCTTCTTTGGAATTGTAATGTTATTGAATATATTCGGACACCTTATCGGCTCTATTAAAACTTAGCTGACAATGCTCTTCTAATCTTTCAAAATAACCATTTGAATCGCTGATAAATTTGCAAGTGGAAGGGCGCACGATCAAATACGTACCATGCTGTTTGTAAAACATACAGCGCTACCATATATGGTGACACTAAATTAGGCTCCATATCTGGACGATTTGTATTCTTCGTATTTAGTGGAACACACATCGAACGTCGGATATGGATAGTGTTATTTCATGAGTGCGCAAAGGGGTGGAGTGTCAAATGTGTCTAACTATAAATATGAAATGTTCACCATTGGCTATAGTAGCCGCAGTAACAGCTGTAACCACTTCAAGGCGTTCAATAACACGAGACAGACAAGGTCGGCCAAAATGACCCCATATCTCACAAATCCAACGAATCAATTTATTTTCAATTCACCATCTACTGATTGCATTGTGTTCAGTATTTAAACGAACCAAAACTGTTTTATCTGCGCATATCTTTAGAGAAATGGATGAATCTAGTCAATCTATTTCGGTGGCGACAGCTTTGGAATGTAAAATCTTTTGTTCATTGACTGCAAACCTCGAGCGAGTTAAATTGCAAGCCGTACTCCATTAGACCCTATCCGTATCCACAATTAATAGCTTCTTAAACCGAGCATCCGACAGAACCAATAACAGTTTTATGACTGCATATTTTCTTCAATTCTCTTTTTTAGGACATCGTCATTTTTTTAATTGGTAACAAAACGTACAAGGAAAGAGATTGAATAAACCAAGGTTTCACCAGTTGCATAAGTCAACTACAAATACTTCCGCTGATTGCGTATGAGTTCAAGAGAACTAACCAATGCTTATCCAACATTGCTAAGACGTTATTTAAGATGGGCATCGCCGGAAAACTGAGATTCGGCGACATTTGAACTCAGGTGCAATCACAGAACTTTTAGTCTTCTTTGTTTTCTTTGTCACAGATGGATTAAAATGACAATACAGAAATCTGCTTTTCCAAGCTTGGAAACAAACTACATTTAGGATATTTTTGGTAACGTTCCAGAACTGAGCAGGGGCAGAAGTATGCAGCGAAACTGCGGCGCGCGATGCCAATTTGTTGAATCCGAAGTAGTAGAGTAGGGAACATGTAACAACACGATCATATAGACACAAGCAGTTCAATGGACAATGTTTTCAGTATATAGCGACATGCATACGAATTTACTGTCGACTCAACTCAGCGGAAGCAAGGACACTCTTAGTCCGATAAATACTAACGATTGTGGGTTGCAAATACTAACCAAAAGCATGGGTGTTTGAAGGTGGACCGTATCACCACCGTTTCAATTTGGTGACCGAAGTTTCATCGAACGCGGTGGTTTTGCTGCAAGCGTTTATCCACCACTCCATTAACATCAACAGCGCGCTAATATCTAGCGAAGTGAAGCGGCATGGTAAAAAGAATTAGTGCGTGTGAGAGTGATCTATCTACTTGATGGAACAGTCGTCCATAATACTTGCTAAATTGGATGTTCTGATGACTACGTAAATTTCTTTCTCCTGTAGTTGACGCGCCTGCATCCGCAGTTGACATCGTCAACCGAATTGCAAGTCTGGCGTTTTGTTGCGTTAGGTTTCTGTAGATAAGTTGATCATTTTCATAGGTAGTGCTGAGTAACAAGCATCTAATTCAATGCGTCAGTTGACAGAATTAGCTGTTGAATGTCACCTATCCATGCTTTCTCTAGTTCGCCTCGAATGTTCATGTGCTAGGCTCTTCACGTCCCCTAAGAAGATTTAATGACCTATTTATCTTTTTTATAGAGATTAGTAAACGTGGGTCTCATCCAATATCCATGTGGTGTTCGATTATCCGCAGTGAAAGCCGTTATCTTTTGACCGATGAAGTTTGTGTCTTATTCTTTTCAGTCTATCTTCTATAGGAAATAACTCTGGCTGCCTTGTTTCACTTTATCTTTCGGTGTTGGAAGTATTCCTCTCCATTTACATTCAGTTTAATATGCTTTTAAGATTCGATGTTCCCATAGCAATCATATTATTAGCTCAGAGTTTCTTAACTTAAGGGGCGTTGTTCCTTTATTTACGTTGTGATAGCACTATTCTGATCAAGGCTCTTTAAATCACAATACTTACATGCACTCTGTTTTTAAATACCAGGTATATATGGTTCTCCACCTTCTTCCTCAATTCTGCCGCGCTGCAGTGTTTCACCTTGTGCGAAAAAGTCTTGCATACCTCGATTGCTGCAGTTTGATGAATAGATTCTGTGGTCGATTTGTGCCTTAGTTTGAGCTACGCAAGCTTGAATTTACTTTTATTTTACTGTGAACCATTTAATCCAAGAATAGTATTTCGGGGCTTACTATTTAGGTGGCATAATTGCTAGTTCTAATCTGCTGTTAATTAGGTAACGTGTATTTTGTATGGAATCTCGCTTCATGATGACAAATCTGTCGTCTACGTATCGGATCCGTAATATCGGTCTTATACGGCTTCTGATGTCGGACGGAATGGAGTCGACATCTTCATTTTAAATTCTGGTTACAATTAAGCATAGTTTTCATTTCATTTCGTCGGACATTCTCCACTTAATTTTTGAAAATCCAGCCAAATGTTTAGCTATCAGCTGCAAATTGTAACTAACTATTTTGTGAGTTGATGTATTTAAACACTTATGCTTGAGTATTAAATAGCGTAAAATTACCGCTGATGGCGCTTAGACAAGCAATTATCGATTAGAAACGTATAGAGCCCTAATACAGATTGACACTATTGAACCAAAAACGCAAGTTTAACATCGTTATGAGGCTATATAAATATGTACTTCATCAATCACTGGCTAGTTTTCTAAGCCTTTAAAATATTCACTTATAGTTCACCAATATTCTTTGAATAAATCGGGCTTATAACATCCGAATTACTTCCTGTCTAGTAGTTTTGCGACACCAATACGTTGATGAGCATCCTGGTGTAAATTACAAAACTCGTAAAGCGGGTAGCGACTACAGAACCGAGTTTCTAAACTACACTTTTATACCCCATCGATTTTTGGCACAAGTCTTGTCTTATCAAAAGCGAAAAAAAGGAAGTGCAACCGTTTATTTGTCTTTCAGAGAAGCTAGCAAACTTGCACACAGGAAATGTAAATTTGTTACCAAATTGAGCGTCAGGCAAAGCGGGGTGCAAAGTAACGTCTCTCGAATTACAAATTCAATGGTTCATCTCGTTTAATAAAAAGGATCCAGTAACTAACAGATGAAGACAACAACGAGAAACGTGATTGTGAATTTGATCACAGTTTTTGTAGCTAAAACAAGAGAGAGGCGATATAATAATTGTTGTGGCCGGATCAGTGATAGCACCGCATGGAAAAAAGAAATCTTCGATTTTGCAGCGTATTATCACGTATAATTCTTATTATTATTAAAACATACTTTGCGATAAACAGTAATTTTTTACTAAGCATGATTGAAACATTTGTGCTATCCAAACAGCCGGTCGGCATTTTCTGCTGTCTTAGAGACATGTAGCATCAATGATCACACAACCTACATAGCTTGCTCCAAGCAAATTACTTCAAAAATCAATCACACGACACGACACAAACAAGTGAATTTTCTACATTATCTATCCGTCAATTCACCACAGGGAGGCGCTATCATCAAGAGAATTCGCAAGGATCATTACCATTACAATGGAACTATGCATTTCTATGTGAATTTAAATAACAAGAGAAAATACACAAAAACTTATAAATGACGATTAAACTGTTGATTACAATATAAGAACGGCTAGGTAAAACATAGAAAAGTAAACCTACAGACAACTTTGTAAGGAGAATAAATATAAGCCCACAACAATCACTTTAAGAACGCAATACATCAACTCATGATAGCTATTATGTGACAGCAAGATAACTGCTAAACTTGGTAAACTATTGTCCCATGTTACCGATTACTGTACAATGAACAATGAACATGGAATTTATATGAGCTAAGAAGCATCGCTTTAAAAGTCCCGTTAAACAATCGGTTGGCATATCGAAATATCAATAGTGTTAGTAGTGATAGCAAAACAGTTAGTTAATTAAATAGGAAAAGGAGGACTTATCGTTTGCTCCTCCGTAGTCCTGCAATCCACTTAGATTCACAGCACCCACAGTTAACATCAATAACTCCACGGTAAACTTTAGGCGTAGGATTGAGACGTAGTGCTATGTGATCAAGTGTAAGTGGATTAGTGCGTCACCCAACCATCTTTATATACTTTTAACGTCGGTGCGGAGAAGACAGATTCTGGGAGAGCATTCTACGGGTGACAGACACGAATGGAAAAGCAATTTCTGCGGCATTCCTAGCGGCTATATTGTACAGACCCTCAGGTTTGTATTTGTGCTAAGCCGCAGTAAATGGCATCACACATGATGTGAGTCCTTGGAATCAAATATGCCATAATCAGGTCACCTCCTAGTATGCGATTGCTTCCACTGAATACCCCCAATCCTTGCAGCCATTCCTCGTGTGAAAGATCGCGCATTCCAATTACTTGCTTAGATGCCCGATGTAGTGGCTGCTCCAGTGCATTAAGGTCGTGTTTCAGCCATGAAAGCCAGGCTGGAATAGGGTATTCTACATGAGGCGAACACACGCACCGCGTTTTTATGAAAATATGGAGCTGCTCATTTGTCCAGACGCCCGTCGCAACAGTCGGCGTATTAGATCCGAATTTTTGAGGCCTTTTTGAATGGTCTGAAGCAAACCCAGTCCTTTTGAACCTGTACACCCAAGTCACGTTCGACAGCTGATTGTTTCAGTACGTTTGTTCCGAGCCGGTGTGTGTAGCTACTCTGATGTCAGGTGGAAAGTACCTAGCATTTACTGAGGTAAAATGCAGTAAGTTTTGGTTTGACTAACGATACACCGTATCTAGGTCACCCTGAAGCAGATGCTGGTCGGCGTTCGCCTGGATCATGCGCCAGATCTTAATATAGTCGGCAAACATTAGGAAGTTTGAATCGACTCCCTGTGCTAGGTCATGAATAAACACCAAAAACAAACGTGGAACTAGCAATGAGCCTTGTTGCACACCACACTCTACTTGTATGGGGTCCGATATAGAGCTCAAACTCCGAGCTCTAATTTCCGGTAAAGTAGAAAGTTGTCAATCCAGCTTACAAGTGCCTCCGCGATCCCGTATTGCTGGAGCTTAGAGAGTAGTATCTGATGGTCCAGACGATGGAAAGCTTTCAATAAGTAAAGGTAGATCACAACAAGTCCTTCTCCAGCGTCAGCTGACTTGATACAACTACTGTGTGCAATTAGTAAATTCGTCGTACCTGACCGCTGTCAGCTGCTCAAACGTGATGGTTTTACAGATTTCCAGATACCACAGCAAACTATACGCCAGGCATAATCGCAGTGCTTTTTTTACCTTTTTGTTTAGAATAGCGCATATAAATAGGTTAGATAGAACAAAGGAAGACAGTCTCATCGATTATAACATGGCTAATGTAGGTAATAAAATTCTTTTGACAAATACGGTCATACTGATAAACCGACAAATCCAAACCGCAAAACTTGGCGCAAAAATGTTTTTTCCACAAACAGAGAGCTACAACCTACTCAATAAGTCATATTTCTAATATGAAAAAAGAAATGAGGTAGCAGACAACTGGAATTGGTCACTAACTGACTGATGTACAAGCAGTGTTAGAAACATTTGGCCTGACAGTTTACATAAAATGTGGATGCTAAACCTAAAGAACGTAGTTGGAAAACGAGTTCTTCCTATTCAGTAAATACGTAGCGCTGTTCTTATGCTTAACAGAAGCAACTTTTAAAGAAAGTGAACCGAATATTATGTTATTCGCGTGGGTAAAATCTCAGTTAGATAACCCAGAAAATTGTAAGACATACGCCCAAAGGCGAGTTAAAGAAATCTAAACGAAGAAACTGTAGTCGCATAATACAAAATCAGGAACACTAGGTTTCTGATTCTAAATTAAATGGAAGCGTAAATTTACGTTTCCCAAAGAAAAAATTTCTGAGTAGCTTCACCTAGTCAATCAGCGCCGTAGACAATTTACCGTAAGACAAAGCAGTTAAAGCACCCGCAACAGATAGGGTTGGAAAAAATGTTTAGTGACCGACAGGCAATAAAACAGTTTGGATAATATAGAGCAGGGAAGCACGGGGCTCAAATTTCTTATGAGGTATCTTTGCTGCAATTTTCCAATGAATACTGCCGTCGTCTTCCGTCGTCTGGTTCATGCCATTTGTTTCCACGATTGCAGAATAGGATTTTTGATGACGACGGAACTTACCTATACAGCTAATCGTTTTATGGATTATAAAAAATGGAAGCAAATAACAGCCACCTCCAGTGGTGGGTTTCATCGAATTACCTGGGGCAGTCCTGCTTGGCGTTGTACGCGTTCCGGTGGCTGTTATAACTAGATATAGAGGAAATGAAAGCATTTCAGAATTAGTGGTTGTTAAAACAAATTTAAAGTTGCCAATATTAAACAAGGGTTTTAGGCTTTTTAAATCCATGGTAAGGATGGAAATTTTCAGCGTTTGCTTGCAGTCATGAATCTGAATTTAGCTTTGCGTAAGGCTTTCCAAAGCTGATGGTTGCCGCTGCAAAATGTACCAGATCAGGCTGTATCCTAAAATGATGCCATTGATAATTTCGAAGGATGTGATACCAGTTATTGGCTTATGTAAAAAGACCTGTGGCTTTGCTTAAGATTTTAATTAAGTTGAGGGATAGAGTTTGTTCTCAATTCGTTAGATAGTGCCGTGCCACTACACAGAAATGCTTGTGAAACAGGGAGTGCACATAATAATAATGATGGAAATTCGGTTCTACTTTTTCTCCGATAGATCACGTAAATCTTGTCGTTGAAGTGCTTTTATGTGTGACTGTTATTACCATTGCGCAAACGGTATTACCATGGGAAAAAGAAAGTATAATATAGAAAACAGGTCAAACAAAATGGACGAGTTTGATACAGCTTACATTAATGGACAACATCTGTTAGACACTATGGTAAGCCGCCTTGTCCCCATGCTGGTTTTATTTGGTTGCTGCAAATCCGTACTAGTTAAAACCAATCTGGGAATTATTGTGCGTGTAAAACAAGGTAGATGAGAGATTTTTCTTAGTAATTTTTACGTTTTGCATATATTATTTTGTGGTTAAATGGCTCTAGATGTTGAGTAATCGCACGTGTCATTATGGTTCTACTGGTTCCTTGCATCTAACTTCCTGTTATGTCAATACTTCATTTCAACTATTTTATTACATTTAATTTCTTTTTCCTATGTATCAGTGCAGTGTTAGCATTTGTTTTTGAATTATTTGTTTTTTCTTTTTGGAGGTTAATTTTCATTATTATCACTCATCTTGCTTTTACATAATCCTTGAAATTTTCAGTTTATATTCCACCATTACCGCTTTAATATGTTTCTTGTTCTTGGAACGTTCTTTATTTTTTCCTTATTTAACTGTATCAATGTTGTTAGCAAGCCAAGCTGCACTTAATTCCGGTTCGCGACTGCATGAAAAACCTAATGCTGGATGTACTTCGACGCACGTCCCAGGCAATGCGATGCGACGCTGTAGTTTGCGCTATGCACACTTAGCCGAAACAAGCTCTCGTCATAGGAATTTGGTGTGTACGATTCCAAGTGGAGGTTGAAAAGCTTTCAGTGTAAGAATTACTAATAAATGTTAGGCTTTGTACGATTAAATAATGTTCATTACTATCCAAGCTTAGTCCTCTGGCTTTGGCTAGACTTAAAATGCATCAGCCGCCTGTGTTTTGACCTTCTGGGTCTCGTCAGTGGTGCGCCTTCCAATGGAAACCTGCCTGATCCCAACCCCAACTACTTCCGAATGCCAGTAGCTAATAAAAAATTTGCCTTGGGCGACGGCCCCTAGTCTAACTAATTGACTATGGACTGTGATATGGCCTTGTTCGTCTTCAACAGTTATACAATTATCAAAATGTGCAGAGGGCAACAGTTGGCCCCCGCGCCAGTTTTTCTGGCATAGCAGTTGAATGTAAGCCGGTCTATATAATAGAAAACTGCCAATCATTCAAGTCCGCGGCTGTCACCTATTGCAAACTTACACTAGCTGCTGTTATCCGGAAGTCAAGTGGGAGGAAACCAACAGTGGTCGGCTCAAAGGCGCACCACGGTTGAGACTCAAAGGTCGCAATGCCGGATTCTTGTGCAGTTCCAAACTAGTCAAATCCGGCTGACGAAGAGGGGACCGTGATGAACTATCCCCAACTTAATGCCTATATATCTGGCATAGAAATTAATAAAGGTTAGTGATATACGAGGGCACTGTTAACGACACGAGTTATCCGCACCTGTCCATCAACTACGGCGTAGGCATATATTCTGCAAGTTGTAGATTTACACTTTATGGATGGCAAAATCACATAACTAAATGACAGAGTTTCCAGATAAAGTCATTTGTGTAGTTTTATAATATGAAATATTAGTTAAATTAGAACGGCTTGCGCCTACTGCTTCATTGGAATCATGCAATATTATCATCAGCCGGGGTGGCATAAAATGACTTTCTTAAAAAGAGCACTGGCACTTCATTGGGTGTTTTTTCGCTTCCGTAGGAAGGCGTTTCGTATCATTATCGTGAACGCAATACTCACTGGGATTAGGCATAATAAGCACATAAAATGCTTTTGTTATAACTAAAAATAATAGTGCTTGTACAAATTCAATCTAATTTAACTAGTTTTATGAAAGCGAATACGTGCAAAGCGTTTATTTAAAAACTTTTTCTGAAACATCAAACCAGTTTATCACCATTATCTATGGATCCACGTCAGTAGCTTCACTTCTATTACGTAGGCATGCGCGTAACCAAAACACCTGTATTAACGCTTATCATAACCATTTGCCTGCTGAAATACACCATTCTCATTTGATGTCACCTGTACAGGTTTTACCTATGTCTTTTCTTCAAGCACTTATGCACTCATATGGGCTTTCCTTTTTCTCAGGCATCCGTTATTCATTTTTAATGCAACCTATTATTGTTTGAGAGCTTGATCTGCGCAAATATTATTTTCTCTTTTCTATCCTTACTGCCCCCCGCAAGAAGTCTCTGCACCAAATTCACTATAAATTTAGACTGGCATATTGACTAAACCAGCATATTCCTCTTTTGAAACAAATGCAGATCTTCCGCACTCTTTATCCATCGGTGTCTTTATCTTTGGGTTAGGTCCTTTGATGTGAGCATTTTCATATTGTTAAGAATGTTACAAGTAATGTTGAAAACAAACACAGGAATCATGCTTTGAAATCTGCTTAGGGGAGAATCATACCTCACTTACTTGCAGCCCTCTCCTAGCAGTTAAGAGTTTTGTACTGTGTTATTAATTATTGCCTGGCATAGAAACTAAGTAATTTGTTAAAATTTTGACGTGCTTTCCCCAACATACCAGACTTAAAATAGAATAAGCAATACATTGGTAGCTCAGTTTCTTTTAGTGAGTGCAGAAATGCCCGCTGTGCTTAGCAGGTTGTTGCAAATGTTCCTTTATCAGTCGAGATGGCATGCACAGTTCGTTGTTGTATAGCGTGTAATCAGTAGCGTAGTGTCGGTAAACCCTGATGTGAGGGTGTAAGAGCTTTTATTTTTCTCTTGTTCGGTATCGGAGATGACCAACCCTTTTGTCTGGGACATCTGCCCGTGCTCAGAATGTCGGACAGGTAGTTGAGGTTTGATCTTGAACTCTCTGATTGTGGTTTTTACCTTTGCCTGCTAACTCCAGTGTTCAAATATGTCGTCCGTTCCGTTTGTCTGGTTTTCCGATCCTTCAAATTCAATCGTTTTGGGGCGGTGGTCCCTCGACCATAGTGTTGCATTTGCAGCGTCCAGTTCAATTTGTCGGTTAATTGAATTAGTTGTGAAATGCCACGTATCCAACAATTCTCTCACATTTGTATTCCCATGTCCTAGGAGTTTCACATTTTCCAGATCAAAATTTGACCGTCTTGATCTTCATGTGTGTAAACTAGCGAATTTGCATCATGGCTTCTTACAGCGGCTTTGTTCTTGGCGATGCTTTTACGAAGCTATTTCCCATTTTGTCCAATGCAGTTCTTGTCATATTTGCCACATGTTATTTGGAAGACAACATTGTTTTGATTACTCTCATACACTTTATCTGTAGCCTTGGAAATCAGTTTCCCTAACTTGACATTGGGTTTTAGGCCAAGGAAATGGCGTATAAACCTAATAACCGTCTTGTCAGTTTATAAACTTTGATGTACGGCAGCACTTTCCGTTGCTTTGGTTGCCCTCGTGGCTGTCGTACTTGGTGAAGCCTTTGTTTGATTAATGCACTTCTGATGAACTTTTCGCATAACAGTTCTTTTGAAATACTCTTTATAGGTAAATTTCTTCTAGCCGTCTCATTCCAGTTGTATTCCAATGTGTTTCAGCTCTTTCGAATAGGCTTTGGACGCAGTTCATTTTATGGTTTACGATGTGGTTGCTGTGATAATTTTTATCTAATCTGTATAACTCACGTCAGATATAGGCAGGTTTGCAGTGGTCCGTCGGTGTTTTCTCTTGACCGATATATCCAAAATAGCAACAGCTATCTGTTCCTTAATTTAATTGTAATTTTTTTTATCAACGAGGTTGTTGTTGAGCAACTCGTGCGTCGTCTGTATTCTATTTCGTTCTATGATGACAAATGGGTCTCGCACAGGATTTATCTAAATATGTGAACTGATGGATGGTGGTACAATGCGCCTCAATTTCTGCAACACGGTTTCGGCAATAAGTCCATATCTAGATGATAACATTGGCTTCCTTTTCAGCTGCTCGTATGCCAGTCCAGTAAAGCGGAAATAAGTGGTCATGTGAAAGTTTAAAAATTCCCACAAACTTCCGGTTTGTATGATTATCGTTGTGCTCGGTTGATTCTGAAATAACTACTTGTTTACATTACCAACTTCGTGAATGATCAAAATGAAGAATGCAATGATTTTACATGAGAGCATACTTTCAACAAATCGCGGGCGATGCTGTTCTACAGCAAAGCAAAATCCCCATTTCAATTAGAGGAATTAATATTAGAAATTAGTTCAGATTTAAGGATTTATTTCACCAAACTCAATTCGGAATCAAACTTATAAATAAACGCTGATGGTGTGGGCATAGCGTCAAATCGGTCTGCGATTGAATTCTAAGTTATATTAACGGTAAAATTGGATAGTTTAAAACGGCCAAAGATGACTGACAAAATTCCCTAAAGGAACCTTATTACCTCAACCTTAGCTGTCTAAAGTAAATAGGTAAGGTCACACATGGATAACTAAGTGAGGAAGTTAGTTGGCCAAGGTAGTAGTATCAACCTTATTAATCGTATTTTACACCTAATTCCGACTTCAAGCT